ATGGTGGCCTCTTGAAGTCCTCTTGGGAGCCGGTGAGCCTCTTGGGGGCCTCTTGGGGCCTTCTTGGGGCACTCTTGCCTTCTAGGACAATCTTGGTGGACACCAGTCGAAGACCTCGAGTCCTCAAGTAGCCCTGCACCTCTAGAGCCCATAACATCGCATCGTGGTGATTTCTCTGAGCTCTCCTGGCGCGCTCTTGGACGCTTTTGAGGCCGTCTTGGGGCCCTCTTGGGTCCCTCGTGGGTCTCTCTGGGGCCCTCTTGGAGCCATCTTGAGGCTTCGGAATACCATCGGAAGCGTACATGCGAGAAGGCCATAAGTATGGATGTTCCATTCTGAATTAATTTTGGCCCTTTGGGGGCGTCCTGGGGAGGCCTCCCACGGCCATTCGGGGCGGTCTTGAGACCTCTTGGAGTATGTTGCAAACCATCTTGAGCCATCTGTGGCTATCCCGAGCCATCTCGGAGGTCACATTGTTTGGCCAGCCGAGGCCCTCTTGGAGGCATCTTTGGTTCTCCTGGGCGCCACAACGACTGGCGACACCCCCACCCCTCCAGACCCAGGGAGAGGGGGTAGGGGGATGCGCAGGGTTAAGTCGGGCCTGCCCCTCTACAGGAGGAATATTCAAAAACGTTCAAGAAACAGTCAGGGGACGATGTTTTAATGTTTTGTTGTTGTTGTTGTTGTTGTTGTTGTTGTTGGTGGTGGTGGTGGTGGTGGTGGTGGTGGTGGTGGTGGTGGTGGTGGTGGTGTTGTTGGTGGTGGTGGTGGTGGTGGTGTTGTTGTTGGTGTTGTTGTTGGTGTTGTTGTTGTTGTTGTTGTTGTTGTTGTTGGTGTTGTTTGGTGTGCCAAGTTTGGAATATTTGTGGGGTATCCCTAATTCTTCGTCCCGAATCCCCCTGTAGGGGCACATGCCCGACCGAAGCGTAGGGACCTCTTTCCCCCACAGAGGGGACGGAGGTCGGAGGACGAAGCGCCCTGAGCCGCCTGCGCGCGAAGAGGGGCCACGGCGGACCCCGCGGGCCCTGCGGCCGCGGGCAGAGGGGTGACGCCTCCACGAGGGCGCCGCGGAGGTGTGCCGGTCGCGGCCGGGCAGCCGGCAGGCCGCGAAGGCCTTTTGTTTGCACGCCCGAAATGGGTACGGAAAGAATGGGTACTATGCCCAACAGCAGTTCCTGTTCATTTTGAACAGGATCCGCTGTCCGCGCCGCCGCGGCCTGTGTCCATTCGAGACAGGAGGCCGCCCGCCCAACAGCGGCCGCTGTTGGTTCGGGACAACATTTGTTGTTGGGCATGTTGCCCATTCTTTCGGTACCCATTTCGGGTGTCCAAATTTTGGGGCGCTGCGCTGGGGCATCGCTGGGCCATCGTGGCTGGCCTGTACGGAGCATCCTGGGGCCACATGTGTCAGGAGAGGCGGAAAAACACACAGACACAATTCATCCTCGATTCCTCAGAAGATGTGGGAAGGGGGGGGGGGAGACAGGAACCCCGAAAGTAGGGGAAAAGATTGGGAGTATTTTTATTTGTGTGTATTTATTTGTGTGTCCTGGGGCCCCTTCAATGTGGGGCTCGCAAGGGCACTCTTGGGGCACACGGTGGGGCCGCTGTGGGCCATCGCGGGGCCTCCTGGGGGGCATCTCGAGGCCATCTTGGGGCATCGCGGCGCCATCTCGGAGACCGCCGTCGCCCCGTCCCAGGCAACACGGCGGCAGGCTTGAGGCTTCTTCTGGCCTCTCGTGGGCCTCTCGTGGCCGCCGTTGGAAGTTGCTGGTCCAGATGTGGCTGTCAGGGGGGGGCGGCTCAAGATCACCGACGATGGTTCAAGACAGCTTCCGAGGGCCAGAAGACGGTTCCAAGTGCTCTGGGAGCCCTCTCAGGACACCCTCAAGAGACCCAAACCTATCAACCCACCTCGGGGAAATTAGTGATTGTTACCTTCTCACCGGTTCGCTTCCGATGCGCTTCTGAGGTCTCAAGATGGCCCCAAGATGGCCCAAAAGAGGTCTACGAGGGGCCCAAGAGGCCCCCCAGATGGCCCCAAGAGCGCCCAAGAACGGTCCAGATGGGGCCAAAGAGCGTCATCGTCGAGCATGCATTTGGGTGCCAGCTGGGCCAGTGCTGTTGTCTCTCGGGGCCGCTCCGTGGCCAGCATCGTGCCATGCACCGCACACCGAAAGACCGCTCGCGGGGGGCTTCTTGGGGAGGCCCCCCTGCCACGGCGGAACTTCTCCGTGGTGCTGCTTCGAACTCACAGTTTGACCCATTTGTGGTTATCTTGGATCATCTGGTCCTGGGCTACAGTGGGGGCGCGCATCAAGAAACCATCTGTTTTTCGTCAGGGTACCCTGGGTTTCTTCGCTCCGCGCGCCGCGCGGTGGCTTCCCGCAGCCAGGGAAATGAGCGGCTGCGTTCAGAGTGCTCCAGGTTTCCCGTCCAGTGCACCTCGCGCGCGGGTTTTCAGGGTTGGGTTTCTTGCGAGGGTTTCTTGCGGCCGCGCCGGCACTGTATGGGCCTGGCCAGAATCGGTGTGTGTGTGTGTGTTTGTCCATAGCGCTCGTTCCTCTAGTTTCCCCCCCTCTCTCTCTTTTCGCTTCCTTTGGCCCGCCCTCGCTCTCCTTCTCTTGGAGTCGCGGCCTGCTCGCATTTCGCAAGGGTCTTCGTGGCACTGCGGGCAGGGTCCCAGGCTGCGTTGCTATGCGGTCTGTGTGGGTGGGCCCTCTGTGCAGATGAGGCGGCGCTTCTCGCGGAAGATGCTTCGGCGGTGCATCGGCGATGCATCGGCTCCCAACTGCTCGGACCTCATCTAGGAGGCCTCTAATGATTGCGATGCTGCTTGCTCAGGTTCCAGTATTTTCACCCGCTGGCGATAACGGGCGTGACTGGGCCGGCAGGGGGAGTGGGGGAGGGGGGCGGTCACGTCGCGATCCGCGCCGTCGGCGTCTGTAAAGACTGTGTTTTTCTTAACGGCGTTGCTGACAGCTTCCATCTCCAGGTTGCAATCGGCTCCTTCAAGTGCGAGAAGGGCGAGTGGGGCTCCTGGGCGAACGCCGAGGTCGCCGGAGTAAAATCTTGCCGCTTCGAGCAGGAGAGGTGCGCTGGATCATTCGTGAGGCACAGGGGGGGGCCACCAGCCCAACCACAGGAGGGACCAGCTTATAAGTAGTGCCCTATGCTCCCAAGACGGTTCCCGGCGGTTCGCGGCCGGAAGGGTCCAAGGGTACCACCCCAAGGATCCTTCTCGATCGTGTTCCTGCGTCCCACACCGAAGGTTCCGACCCCATCCTTCAGCCATGCGCAAAGGGGGGTAGGAGGGGTGAAGGTTTATGAAGAAGCACCCCTGCTTCTTAAAAGCCGCGGGCCTTCCCTATGAATGCAAGGCCCGCGGCTTCAAAGAAGCAGCCTCCTAAGAAGTCTTCCGCTCTTCTCTCCCCCCCCTCTGCGCGCCGCCAAATTCTGTCCCACTTACTTCATGGGGCCACCCTTTGACAGGGTCACATCCGACATGTCCTCACCCAATTGGATCCCACTGTATGCACATCGTGCGTGGCGTGTATCTATATTCGTGCATAGCTGTACTCGTACAGTCTGTTCCTAAATACATAGCGTGATCTCCGGCCCGCTGGCAGGGTTTGGTCCAGAGATCCACTGAAGCGCCCCAAGACTGCCCCAGGGTGCCTCAAGAGGGCACAAAAGACGGGGCCAGAGGGCTCCAAGAGGCCTGTGATGGTCCAAGAAGGCCCCGAGTCGCCGATCGATCGGTCCAATACGCTTCAGATGGCCTCCAGACGGCCCATGAGGCAATCAAGACGCCCCCCACAGGCATCCAAGAGCCCTCCCAAGAGAGCTCCAACAGGCAAACATTGTCAATTCCTTCGCCGGGATAGGTGAGTTTCGGGAATATGTAATTGTCGGCCTTCACAGCGTCCAAGACGGACCAAGAGGTCTCCCAGATCACCCCAAGATGGGCCAAGAGGCCTTCAAGTTGTCTCCGAGACGCCCCAGGAGGTCCCCAGACTGGCCCAAGAAGCGCCCAAGACGGCCCAAGAAATCCATCAGAGGGCACCCAGAGAGGTCCGAGAGGGGGGACTCGAATTTAGATTTCGAGCTCTCCGCCCCAAGGGGCCCTCCGAGACAGCCAGCAGCCCCATAGGGCTCCAAGAGGCCCCAAAGAAGCCCAAGATGTGCTCCCTGACGACCCCAAAGAGGCCCCAAGAGGCCTCCCGACAGGCCCCAGCAGTTCTGACCTCGCAAGTCAGTTGCTGGCGGCATCGCCGTCCCGACCCGATCGCACACCGAACCGAAGAACCAGTTAGCCAGTAGTGCGGCGACGGTCAGAAAGTCGATGTATCTCTCTCTCTCTCTCTCTCTATATATATATATATATATTCAGGAGGGGAACAACACACAGACACAATTCATCGTGGATTCCAAGGAACATATGGGAAAATATGGGAAGTGGGGGGGAAGACAAAAACATAGAAAATATGGGAACGTATGGGGAACAGTTTTACTTGTGTGTATTTATGTGTGTGTGTGTGTGTCCTGGGGCCCCTTCATCTATACATATACACACAATTTTTTAGACCAAGCAAACCATCAGCGTCTTTCCAAAGAAGCGCCTCCCCTGGCAAGGCTGCGCCGCTGGATGGGTGGTGCCCTCATGCCTCCGCTCGCGCCACCGCCGTCGTCCTCGTCGTGGGGGTATATCATCGTCGTTGCCGTCGCCGTCGTCGTCGTCGACGGGCGTCGTCGCCGTCATCGGCCGCCGCCGTCGTCGTCGTCGTCGTCGTCGTCGCCGCGTTTGTCGTCGCGGTAAGGCGTTTTTGTCGTCGTCGCCGTCGTCGACGTTGTTTGTGGTTGTCGTCGTTTTCGTCGTTTTTTTTTCGTCGTCGTCGTCGTCGTGGTCGTCGTCCCCGTTCCTGGTTGTCGTTGGTGCTCCGCCGCCGTACCCCGCGGCACGCACGCGCGGAGGAGGAGGACAGGGACATGTATCATGGAAGAGGGTATGCCAGTGATGGCGATGGATGCGGTCGAGTATGTGATCGCGGCCTTAACAATGAAGTCGTTGGTAGCCGTAGCAGAATTGACGATGGTAGGTTCGGATGCCGCTGCGTAATTGCGACTTGAACCTAAACGCGCTAAGCGCGCGCGTAGCTTTACCTTTGGGCCGTCTTGGAGCGTCGAGTGCCCGAGAAGGCGAGAACACTAAACTCCTTCAACAAATTTTGGCAATTCAGTGATGCTGGTTTTTTCGGGACCCACTTGGAGGGCGTCTTGGGGGCCTCTGGGGCCGTATGCGAGCCGTCTTGTTTTTTTTGAAACGATCGTGGGCGGTTTGGGGGGAATCGTGGGCCCTCTTGGGCGCTTGCTTCTTGGGGCCCTCTTGGCCCTGTTTTGGGCTCTCGGGTCTTTTTTTGCAAAATCGTGCGGACAAAAACCGGGAGCGCACAGAAACGCCAAGACGATGTGAGACGTTGGGTTCCCAGCCCCTAGAGACATAAGCAGACTCAAAGACTTGATGAACATTCCAGCTAGTGTCTCGAGGCGCGATGGCGGATATGTTGCTTCGAACGTGCCCATACTTTTCAGAAGAGCTTGACCCTACTCCCTTCTCCATCAGGGCTTACACGCTCACTCTCGCAAAGTGTGTTTCCTCTTGCATCTCGCACGATTTCTCACCCTGACTACCCAGAGTGTTGTGTCCCCCTGTTTCTCCGTTTCAGATAATGATGCGGTGCGCACGCGTTGATCGAGACAGCGCTTTACAGAAGAATCCGTTGCAACTGGTGCCGCGCCCCCGCGCGCGCATGGCGACATTCTTCCCACGTTGCCCCACTCATCTCAAGGCAGCAGATGTCAACTGTCGAGGCCGTGTGTTTCCCATCAGCGCTTCGTCGGGTGCCTGCGCGCGCACAGTTTGTGCACCGAGAGAGGGCCCGGGCCACAGGCGCACGCATGTGACGCGCCGGCCTTCCGAGCAAATGCTACGCGGGCAATGCGCGCGCGCGTCCTCGCGACCGCGTCGACCGCCTTCCAACACCAGCTGTTCTCTGATCGGTACAACCTGTGTTCAACCACGTGCAACAACTGTGCAGTGCGTCAGGAGTCGACGTCTGGACGTCCCGAGTCAACACGTAAGTGTTTGTTGAGGCCCGTCAAAGGAGACCATGTGGGCCACGCGCGCGCATGTCTCTCACCACCAGCCCTGTAGCAGTGCCCGCCGTGCTCTTGTCCGGACAATGCGGGCCACGCGCACGCGTTTCCGCGCGCCCGCGCCGATCTCCATCCAACCGTGTTTGGGGCCAGGCGCATGTGAAGCGCAAGTAGCGTCACAACGGTTATCGGTTCAGGGTTTTGAATTTCTGCGCACTCATGTTCCCCATCATCTTCAGCAGGCCTATCGCGATGGTCACCGTCAGTGCTCTCCTTGGTGCTGCCATCATCCTCAGCATCACCACCACTATTACCACCCTCGTCGCCGCCGTCTGCGTCGGTCTGCCAGGCGAGTTTTGCCAGCACGTTGAGGCTGGGTGTGTGGGAACCTGTTCCTCGGCATCGCTCGGACGTGTGCATTTTTTCTTCGGCGAGGACCATCGAGGAGTATCCTCGATCATTTGGCGAAAAAACCAAGCACGAAACCGAGAAAAACACAGGGAATGGACGTCCGAGCGATGGCGAGGTTCGAGCAATGGAGCCGACCACGCCCATTGGGAATTGATGGCCTCAAGGCAGCCACGTGCCCGTCCTGCGACGACGCGTGCCAGTGAGCGGGGGGCCAGGGCTCTCGCGGCAAGGGAGAGGGGGGGGGCGGGGGGGGAAGCGAGAGAGAGAGTGGGAGAGAGGGGGAGGCTGAGTGCGCTTCCACGTGTGCTCGAGCCTGGGCGGCCATAGGTCATAAATGTACGGACCTCGGTGCCTATCTGGAGTGCGTCGACGACGCTGGCCGCTGCGATTGCGAATCCATTGGCGCTAAAAGGAAGGATGCTTTAGCTCGTTCACTGACAGGTTGCTCGGGAACCAACGTGTGCGCGTGAGTGGGGGCTCGGAGCGCCAGGGCGCAGGTGTCAAGTCAGCTGGCAGTCAGAGGAGGCGCAGAGAGCTCTTGTGCAAGATCGCCGCTTTTAATCTATTTTTGACCGCCCTTGAGCAGCAGCTTGCGAGCTGTATTCCCTGCTCATGACGACACCTGCGCAGCTGAGACAAACAAGCAAGACCGTGCCTGACTCACAGGAGGGTTGCGAACGCCTCATGTGTTTGGATATTCGCATGTACGTGTGCATGTAGCCTTCGTGCCGTAGTGCGTACGGTTTGACGCTCGCTCGCGCACGCAACCCACGTCCGTCAGCACAGGTCCTCTATGACAGATTGGACAATCGTTGTGGCATTGCTGCGTGTTACCTCATACAGCCCACCCATTGCATGAGTGGAGTCGCATGGCCTCACATGACCCTTTGTTTCTTGTCCAGCATTGCATTCCCCAGTCTTCGCCATGTGCTGCGCTCATACGCTTTTCCCAGAGGTCTTCCTCAGGGGCTGGCGAGCCGTGAACGACGATGGGCGGTACAGGCATCACGATTGGACCATCAAGGCTTCTTTTTTCATGGTCATTGGGAGCAGGGGTCCGTGGATCGAGGAAGAAGAGGACCAGCGCAAACCCAAGACGCATCAACGATATTGTAGTACACCTTTCCTCCAAGTTCCCTCTTCACGGGCCCCTGCAAACATTGATTGTCATTTCGGGAAAAGGCTCGTTAGACGACAACCGCTTAAGAACCCTCAACCGTGTCAAACCATCACCATTGCTGGAACTTCATCGCCGCGGATCAACGTGACTGTTGCGCCTTGACAACCCTGAACCGTGCCATAACACCATCCCTTGGAGTTCAACACCACGGATTAACATCACTGTTGCGTCCTGACAAAGCTGAACCGTGCCAGAACACCATTCTTGGGATTTCAATCCTACGAATCCTTGAAACGGCTATTCGCATTTGAGACGAATGTGCGCGGCGCTTAGGTCAGAGTATTTAAGGGGAGCAGCCCGCCATACGGCGCAACAGTTTCGCAAACGTGTGGTTCGAGCTGTCGGCGGTTGGGCGAGCCTCCTGGAGGAGGGGGAGAAGGGGACGAGGAAAGCATCAGGAGGAGACGACGAGGATAGGCGGGACGAGTAGGAGGCGGAGGAAGAGGAGGAGGGAGGGAGGGCGAGAAGAGGGAGGTCAGCCCCCCCCCCCAATCCCTGGATCATCGACCTCCCATCGATTCACGATGCTCCCCGGTCCACGCTCTTTCGCCGATCTTCGATTCCTGATCCTCCCCCGATCCTCAATCCATCTCTATCTCGATCCTCGGTCGCTGATTTCGATACCCCCCCGCTCTAGCCCGCGATCTTCCCCTGGGGAACAGGATGCGGAGGAGGAACCCCCCTTCTGTCCTCGATCATCCCTCGGTCCTCGATCCTCGATCCGCCCTGGGTCCTCGATCGTACCCCGATCCGTGTTCCGCGACTGTATGTTGATCCCCGCTCCTCCCTTGACCCACGGAGTTCCGGGATATTTTGCTTCGAGCAGTCGGTGGGCAGGCGAGCATCTTGGAGGAGGAGAAAGAGAACGGGAGAGAGGAGAGAGGGCGGAAGAGGATAATGTAGAAGGAAGAGGAATGGGATGATCACGAAAAGGGAGAGGAGGAAGAGGAGGAGTGGGAGGAGGAGAAGGAGGAGGAGGAGGAGGTGGGGAGGAGGAGGAGGAGTTGGAGGAGGAGTACGAGGAGGATGAGGAACAGCAGGAGAAAGACGACGATGATGATCTTGATGATGATGATGATGCTGGTGATGATGACGCTGCTGATGATGATCCTGCTGCTGCTGCTGCTGATGAACCTGATGATGATGATCATCATGCTGATGATGACGATGCTGACACTGATAACGGTGATGATCATGATAATTATACTGATGATGTTGTTTGTGGTTTTGTCGATGATTGTGTGATGATGGTGATGAAGATGCGGGAAACGATGGTGAGGAGAAAAATTAGGAGTAGGATAGTACTGATTTTGATGATGATGGCGACGATGTTGATGGTGGCCATGCAGATGAGTATTCTGAAAATGCTCATGATGATGATGGTGGTGCTGATGAGGAGCAGGATGGTAAGGATGACAGTGATGACGAGGATGCTGATGCTGATGACGATGAAGCAGGTGAATCAGATGATGATGCTGAGGCTGATGATGCTGATGCTGATGACGACGCTGTTGGTAATGACCCAGACGTTGATGATGAGATGCTGATGATGATGATTGTGATTTGGATGCTGAGTTTCGCGATGATGATGAGCATGATTCTGATGATGATGACGACGATGATGAAGCTGATACTGATTATGATTGCGATGCGATGACGATGTTGTTGATGATGATGATGATGCTGTTGTTTGTGCTGCTGATGCTGATGCTGATCCTGCTTGTGATGATTATGCTACTGATGATGATGATGATGCGGTTGCTCCTGATGATTGGTGATGGTGATGGTGATGAGGATGATGGTGATGAAGAGTACGATGACGGTACTGCTGATGATTATGATGATGAACCATTATGATGATGTTGTTGTTAATGATGATGGCGATGTTGTTGATGATGGCAATGGTGATGCTGATGATAATGATGATGCTGATGTTGATGCTGATGATGATGATGATGATGATGATGATGATGCTGATGCTGATGCTGATGCTGATGCTGATGCTGTTGCTGATTATTATGATGATGCTGCTGCTCATGATTTTGATGATGGCTCACGGCACAGAGGCTCAATGCCCCTGCGAAAGCTCGTATACACCGCGCGCCCGGGCGAAAGCTGATCACACTTGTGCACTTGAAAACGTTTGAACCGAGGCATTCCGGGTTCTTGCTTTCCCGAGCGCGCTGCAATGCCCAGCAGCCGTTCCCCGCTGAACCTCGAGAAGGAGTTGGCGGCTGTGATGTCCCAAACCCCTCCGCAGAGACAAGGGACTACCTGGGGGGCTGGTACTGCAGTCGGCCGCCTGTTGGCGGGTGACCCGTTCGAGCAGATGAGGGAGAATGTCGCGCGCACGGGACCTGGTCCTGTCTCGCCTTCTACCCCTCAGGTGGCAGACACTCGTTACCAAAGGATGGAGGATGGCGGGGAGGAGGATGCGGAGATGATTCCATAGCCGTTTGTGCGGCCGTATTTTGGGGAGGTACGGGAGGACGGGAACTCGCAGGAGTAGCAGGTCACGATGCTCGGCATAATTAGTGGCGCTACTCCGGAAGGAGCTGACTCCCGTCACAACCTCGGTGGAGGAGTTGCGCTCGGTGTTCAGTGGTTTGGACACACGCCTCAACGACTTTATAACAGTTGTGAATAAGCGCCTGCAGTCCGTGGGGAGCAGGCTGGGCGTCTCAGAGGTCAGGATCGAAAAGCTTGAGCGCATTCTCAATAATCTCGAGTCTTCCCGGCCGGCTGGCGCAGCTCCACTTCGAAACGCCATTCAGCACACAACGGCGGACAATATTCACATCGCGGCCGTGATTGGCAACCTGGGCGCGTTGAGCAGCATTGCGGAGGCGACCTCGTGGCTGAAGGACAAGTTGATGGTGTTGAAGGATCCGAAAACAGCACGTATTCCAAGGGAGACTTTAAGTGCATCCCATTCGCGGAATTCTCGGGGACCGCGGAGAAGGACACCGATGTGGACCTCCTCCGTGCGGCGGGTTTCCAGCCAGGCGGAGGGAAAGGTTTGTGGGTGACGGTTGATCGTTTTTTTTCTGCTTGAAGCGGTTATTCAAACACGAGTGGCGGATCCAGTACCACGTGAATCTATCCGACGAGGCTCCGTGCCTGCTCACAGTGGCCCAGTTTTGGGCGAGAAGGCGGTGAAGGCCCACGTTGGCGACAACGCCGCGCGATATGAATGTCATGGCGATTGGAGGACATAGGACGTGCTGTGCGACAGCCAGGTTGTGCAGGACCTCATCCAAAAAAACACGGACATGCTGTCCCGGGTTGGCTTGGGCATGGAGGTCTCGCAGGGGCAGACAGGGCGGTGCCAAAGGGCATTAGGACACACAGCACATGAGCACAGTTTCACCCACTAGGTGCCTGAACATCTGCATTTGCCCACGCCACAAGCTCCAGTTTTGGTACCAGGCCGACACCCTGCACAACAAGGTCGTCCGAAGCGGAACTTTTTCGGGGCGGGTGGCTCGAGGTCTCTGGCCGGGAATTCCAAGTTTGGTTTTGGAATGCGGAAGGGCTTAGAGAGACACGTATTGTATAGCTCCAGCGGCGCATGCAGCAGGAGGGCGTTGACGTTCCCAGCGCCGAGGAAACGCACAAGGGTAAGATCACAGACGGCGGTTCCCCGCTAATCTTGTCTGGCGCGTTAGAAGCCGAACCGGGGGCCACCGCGGGAGTTGGATTCTTGATCTCTCCGCCGGCACGTCGCAGCGCCATTGGTTGCAGACGAGCCTCTTTGAGAATGGCGCCCCTCAAACTGCGGGTCCGCGGGGGAAATGGTCATCTGCGGCGCCTGCGCCCTGCGCAGCGGGACGCCATTCGTCGATCGGTAGGCTGTCTTTTCCGAGTTAGCTGGCTTCCTCGGCAGCTACTCCGCTCGCGGACCAGCGCTGTTATGCTGTGATTTCAATGCCAGAATGCGCTGGCGTTTCACTGGGGGAGAGGACGTGTTGGGGCCGTTCATATCTGGGAACCCGCGCGCGCAGCACATGGCATTATCAAATAATCAAAGAGACACTTCTGCTCGAATGCTGCACATCTCGCATGTTCGCTGTCAGCAGCGCACTTTTCGACGAGCCCCCGCAGCGCCAGATTGCCCACTGCGATATCGGGCGCTCGCTGGCGGACCCCCCGCATCACCAGAACTGCGGGCAGTTTGACTGGGCGATCGTGCCCAATGAGTGACGTCGGTGCTAGGAGAGCGCACGCAGCGCCATGCGCAGGTCGATCGCGTCACATCATTCTCTCTCTGTTGCATCCGTGGACGTGGACGTCCCTCATCTTGACGACAGGTCGGCGCACTTCGTGGCGAAATTGTTGCCAGCGCAGTATCCGATGCTATCTGTGCTCGCATGAGCTCAAGCGCGCGAGCCCGGGTGCGCGCGCGCCCGGCAGCTCGTGTCGAGCATGACAATTGCTTTTTACTGTGCTGCCCGAGACGCTCTGCCGACCCACCCGAGGAGGCCGCGGCGACCGCGGATGCCTGCAGGACAGGGCGCTCCAGATCATAGACCAGAGAGACTCAGCGAGGGCACGATGGGGCGACGCAGGAGGAGCGGCACTTGCGCCGAGCTGCGAGGGAATCTGTCAAGGCAGACTACTCCGATTAGTTAGAGAGCCGCCGGTCGGCGCCTTGAGAAATAGGGCGCAAGCCAGGCAGGGCCGGTTAGCCGACATGGAAGGTCGTCTTTTTGACACCGACCAATGTGCAGACACAATGGCAGAGCGCCTCAGCAGAGTCCAACGTTCAGCGCGGCCGACGAGCGCAACGCCGAACGGGGGCCAATTTGGCTGGCGACGAGCTGGCCGTGCCATGTGGCCCGATCACCGAAGGCGAAGTCGTCGGCGCGGCTGCTCGGGAAAACCGGGGTAAAGCGTCTGGCAAAGACGTTATCCCGCCAGAGTTTCGGAAGACAGTCTGCCGAGCTGGGGCGCCTGCAGGCAGGTGGGCTGTCGCGTTGCGCAGAGCATGCTGGGCTGACGCAGCAGTTCCAGCAGCATAGCACGAGGCGCTGGTTGCAACCATATTCAAGAAGGGAGACGTGGCCCAGCGCAAAAACTATGAGCCCATTTCCTTGACGGCCGTTGGCTGCATAATCTTCGCCGCAGTTTTGCTGGGCCGGCTGGAAGCAGGCGGGGCCGAGGGCCGGATATGACGCGCTCGCCTCGGCTTTAAGTCCACGCGTGGAACCGCGGGCGCCATTTTCCCGGTTCGGCGAATTCTTGCCAGATGTCGGGCCGACAGGGACGGGCAGGTCGTCTTGCTGGCGCTCGATTGAAGCCTTCGGCGGCGTCTCCCCAGCGTTTAAATTTCGCCCTAGTCAGGTCTTGCGTGCCGACGGAGTAGTACGTGGAGGTTGTGCGGGCGATCAACCAGGGGCGTAGTTTTTTGCGTCCGGGATGCCGGCTCGACATCGGCGCCGAGGGCGCAGGGATGCGGCATCGGCCATGGGTGCCCGCTGTCGCCTTTTGTCTTCGCGATCGCGATGACTGCGTTGCTGCGGGACGCGAAGGAGGAGGCCGGGTTGCTGCTCGACCTCTCCCAGGCGGTGCATGAATTGGTCCGCGCCAGCGACGCATTGCTCGTGTCGGGCGAGTCCGAGACAGCGACGGCATACATGCGCAGCGTTGAAAAAGACGGATCGCAGTACGGGGTGCAGTTCAATTGGTGCAAGCTGGAAGTTCTATCCGGTGAGTGCGATGCGCCCATTCCAAGGCCAGGCGGTGCCTGGGTGCCGCAGAAAGAGAGCATTCAATATTTGGGCAACTTGGTTTCCAACGACGGGAAGATTGGCCCTGAAAGCTCCCGCCGGCTAGGCGCCGCGAGGGCGGAATTCGACAATTTGAAGCGAGTGTAAGGCCATTCCACGCTGACGCAGCTTAGGAAGCTTGAGATCTCCAGCGTTTGTATTTTCAGTGAACTGCTGTATTGCCTGCGTGCGGCCTTCCTGAAGCAGGCGGAAACGAACAGGCTCAGCAGATGTTTAAGGCAGATTTTCGCATACCCCAGTCATACATTGAGCCACGTTGCGAATTTCAGCATTTTGCAGCAAGGGGGCGCTTCCCCGCTGAACGATATCCCACTGAATCGTCAGCTGCTGCTCCTGGGGCACAGCGCCCGAAAGCCAGCTGATGACCCTGTCAGATGCACTGTCCTACGCCCTGTTTCGTGCAAGCTACCACTACGTAGCTTCAATCGAAAGCGGGGGTGCCCCCGGAAAACTTCGACCGAAACAGTTTTTGCCCGCATTGTCCTGGCCGCGGAGGGCGGGGGGACATGCCGCAACTCTGGCATGATAGCGTAATTTCTGGTGCAGCCTGTCTCTTGTGAGACCACGGCATTTGTGCTCGTGTGTTGTCCACTCCGTTTTTTGTTTTGTTTCTCTCTCTCTCTCTCCCTCTCTCTCTGACGCAAATGATGATGATGTTGGTGATGGCGGTGCTGTTGTTGAGGACGATGGTGATGTTGATGTTCGTGCCGATGTTGGTGGTGATGATAATGCCGATGCTGGTGATGCGTCTGGTGACGGTGATGGTGATGATGCAGGTGATGATTACCATGCCGGTGTTGACGATGTAGAGGATGATGATGATGATGATGCTGCTGATGATGACGGTGGTGATCATGATGATGGTGGTGGTTGTTGTGGTGATGGTGATGGTGATGACTTGGATCAGTATGATGATGTGGAGGAGCAGGAGAGGGAGGCGGGGATGGGGAGGAACAGGCTGAGGACAAGAAGGACGAGGAGGGGGAGGAGCAGGAGGACGGGAAGGAGGATGATGAGGATGAGTGTGCGAAGACAGGGGGAGCAGGAGGAGGACAAGGAATACTAGGAGGGGGAGGAGGATAATGAGGAGGAGCAGGAAAAGGAGGAGGAGGAGGGGGAGGAGGAGGACGCGGAGGACGCGGAGAAGGAGGAGGAGGAGGAGGAGGAAGGAGGAGAAGAAAACTGAGACGACGATTGCTACGAATAAGAAGAATACGAATACGACGAATAGCCACAATACATGAAATCGTAAGAAGAATAACCGGATACACCAGAATATTCATACCACTATTGAGACCACTTAACGTTAATAAGCATGCTAGTACTATGAGTACTAAGACTAAGAATATGCAGCAGCATAATAATACGAGGAATAAACATGATACGAACACGAATCCAAAAACGAGGAATCATAAGAAGAATACTAAGACGAATCATATTGATCAGAAATAATGATAAGAAGGAGAGAAGGAGGAGGAGGAGGAGGAGGAGGAGGAGGAGGAGGAGGAGGAGGAGGAGGAGGAGGCGGAGGAGGAGGAGGCGGAGTAGGAGGAGTGGACCAGGACAGAGGGAGTAGGAGGATGGCACGGAATAATAGGAGGGGGAGCAGGAGAATGAGGAGGAGGAGGAGGAGGAGGAGAGGAGGATGAGGAGGAGGAGCAGGATGAGGAGGAGGAAGAGGAGGAGGAGGAGGAGGAAAAAGGAGGAGGACGACGAGGAGGACCACGAGGAGGAGGAGGAGGATACGACGACGACGACGAGGAGGACGAGGACGAGGACGAGGAGGAGGAGGAGGCGGAGGCGGAGGAGGAGGAGGAGGAGGAGGCGGGCGGAGGAGGAGGAGGAAGAGGAGGAGAAAAAACAGAAGGAGAAGGAGAAGGATAAGGAACAGGAGAAGAAGATGAGGAGGAGGAGGAGGAGGAGAAGGTGGGGGAGCAGGATGAGGAGAGGAGGAGGAGGAGGAGACGAGGAGGAGGAGGAGGACGAGGAGGAGGGGGAGGGGCGAGGAGGAGGAGGAGGGAGGAGGGGAAGGGGGAAACTGGAGGAGGACGATCAGGAGCAGGAGAAGGACGAGAACGAGGGGGGTGGAGACTGATGACGAAGATGAGGAAGGAGGTGGAGGAAGAAGGACAAGGAAGTATCTGTGGGGGAGCAGGATGAGGAAGAGGAGGAGCAGGAGGACGAGGAGGAGGGGGGGAAGCATGAGTAGGAAGAGGAGGAGAAGGAGGAGGAGGACGAGAACGAGGGGGTTGCAGAAGGATGAGGAGGTTTAGGAGGAGAAGACGGAGGAGGAGGGGCACGAGAAGGATGAGGAGCTGCAGGAGGAGGACAACGAGGGATCAGTAAGGAGGCTTTGAGAGTGAGTCACTCCTGTCACCCCTCGTCATCTTCCGCCTCATTCCTCCTCGCAGTCATCCTCTTCCTCATTGGGTTCCCTCATCACTCTACCTCACTCTTCCTCCCCCTCCTCCTGCCTACCCAGTCCCCATCCCTCCCTCAACCCCTCTCTTTCAGCGTGCTTGTGTCTTTGGTGGTCTCGTGGTTGTCGCCATGTGTTATCACTTGATTGGCTACGCTCTTAGGAACCTTTCGGCAAACGAATTTGGTGGCCGGCTACGCACGTAATTTATCTGGAACGGTGGAAAGTTGTGCATTGTTCTTTCAGAGTGTCCGTGATTCAGAGTTGCCACTTCTCGTATGCGCTCTTCGTGCCCCTTGCTATCTTGGCATGTTCGAAGGTGGACGCAGATACCGTGTTCTACCCTGACAGGTTCCGCTGAGGAGGCGGAGTATGAGGAATGTGTTTGTTGCCGGACTACTGCAGTTGATTCCATCATTCCTTGTTTGTCTGTTTGGTCATTGACCGGCTATTGTTGACGCGGTTGGTCAATAACTCGATGGTGATAATTCTCACCCTCGAGTTATTGTAACGTTGACGACTGCCATGATTCGGGGCGGGCTTTGCAGGGTCAGGTCTAGGGCATGTTTTCGGTTCGGTCGATTTGCTTCGACGGGCGGGGTCAGTTTGTTCTGTCAGGGACGGTTACTTCTGTCAGGTCATATGCGGTGCCAGCTGCGAAGGTTTTTCATGTTCGTGTTCATTGCGTGGTTGATCGATGCATTGGTGTCTGTTTCTCTCTCTCTCTCTTGTGTTGTTTCTCTCTCTATCTATATGTATATAATAAACATATCCTTAAGGGCTTCGCTCCATGCCGTTGGCCCCCTCTCGATGATAATTGCAGTCATTACATTCGTTTCGGTGCGTTTGGGCGCCGTCTCGAGACATCTGGTGGCATCATTCGAGGGCGGATAGGAATCAGCATCACATACAGTCGGCCCGGATTAGTAGGTCGACCATGCAAGCTCAAGGGTACCTTTGTGTCCTGTGCCTCGCGACACCTGCCTTCTTACATTCCTGTGGCAATGTGGCTCTCGGAGGGTCTTGTGTCCTCTCGCGTGTCCTGTCCAATCAAGGCCGACTGTATTGAGACGGTGGCGTAAGTATTGAACATGTCGGTGCCTGGATTGTAGGTCTGAGGCCTCTTGTGTATGTGTTGTAGTGGCTTGGGAAGCCTCTTGGAGGCAGGTGGCCTTTGAGGGGCAGTCTTGGAGCCTCTTGGATTTTTTGGGGGCCTCCTGGGGGCTTCTTGGGGCCTCTTGGCGGCCTCTTAGAGGCTTCTTGGGGGTTCCTGTGAGCTTCTGAGGGCGGAGGGCTCGAAATGTCGGTTCGGGTCCCCCCACTTGGGCCCCTCTTGAGGGCGCCTTGGGGCTTTCTTGTGCTGTTTCGGGAGCTTCTTGGGCCATCTTGAGGCAGTATTGGGTTCTCGTGCGGCTGTACTGGGTGCCCCTTGGGCCGTCTGGAAGCGTTCTTGGGCGCTTCTTGGGCCGTCTTGGAGCGATGTCGGGAGTCTCCTGGGCCGTCTTCGAGCGTTGGGAGCCCGAAACGGCGAGCATGCGACCACCTTGCAAACACCGAAGGGAGATCGTTGATTTTGGCTTCTTGTAGGAGGGCACATTCGAACCCTACCCCACCACCCCACGATTTCTAAGGGGGGATGTGAGGTTCACTTCGTTCGGGACTTCCCGAGTGAAGTGACCCCCCCTAGAAATCGCGGGGTGGTGGGATAAGGGTTCGCATGTGGCCTGCTATCTTGGGCCCCTCTTGGAGGTGCTCTTGGAGCGCTCTTGGGGCCCTCTTGGGACCGTCTTGGACCGCCTTGGAGCCATCTTTTTGGCGCCTCGGAGCACTCTTTGGGGCGCCTTTGGGGGCCTCTTCGACCGTTTGGGGGCCTCCACGAGGGCTGGTGGCCTCGAGAGCGCAGCATCTGTGAAATTTACGTGGGACTGCGGCCCCGATGGCACGGATATCATTTACCAGTTTGAAACATATCCCTATCCTTATGCTTGACATCATCTCACCTCGATGCCGATCTTAAGGATTCCCTCAGTTTCTGAGGGCCTGTCCCTAAGATTGTCCTCGCTTTTTGCTCGCCCATCTTAGGGATAGGGATACGTTCGAGCCTGGTTAACCATGTATTTTGACGTGTCCAACGCCCCCGCAGGAATGTTGAGAACCTTGGGAGGGGAGGTAAACAGTTCCTAAACAGTTCCTCTTGGGCTCCCCCCTCGCGCGGTCCAGAAGCAATTGGCACTGGGATGCAGACAGCACGACCCTAGCATTGGAGACTTCAGCTGGAATTGGAGCAGGGAGCAGCGAGCCTGACCACTGCAGCCTGGTGGCCCCACAAGGGGGCCAGCGGATTCTACCGATCTCCCCCTCGATATGCCTGCCGTTGTCGGCGTCGCTGATGGTTCGAATGAGGGGAGGACGGATGCGTCGCGGAGTACGTAGGACCAGCAGAGCGAGTGAGGCTGCGTAGCTTCTGATTACTGTTGAGGCTTTCTGGGGTTGCGAGGGCGAGGGAGCGCGCGAATAACGGGAAGGGTGAACGACCAGGAGAGGACGAGGAGCAAAGCAGACAATCGGCCAAGCGCGGGATTGGCTGGCGCCAGCGCGCGGACGGAATCGCTTGCGCCTGGGGACTTTGTCCCGTCTCGCGGCCCTCATGGCGCTCTTCTTAAGTCGGCCCCTTCCCTCTGCAGGAGGAATATTCAAGAATAGTAGCAAAAATAGTTTGGAGGGTATTTTTGGAGTATGTTTGGTTTTCGCCCAAAACCCACCTGTAGGGGGACACGCCCGACTTAAAGCTATTCGGCTTGTACCGGGCCCTCCAGGAGTCATCTGCCATGGAGCCAATTTCGCAGAGCGGATGTCTTTCGAAAGGCCATGGGATGGGTGCGCAGTGTCCTGGATAATTTCGTTCCCGATTTCGTCGTGAATTTGGTGCACGAATGAAGGCTTAACACACATCCACGTGGAATTCATTTAATTTTCCACTCGCCGTGTCGGGGTTTTGCATTGACAGATCCACGCAAAAATCCGCTGAAGCACGTCTGCAAGGTCGGTGCAGTGACATCTGGGCCACTTACGACCTCGTGGGGTTCGCGGGGAGATCTGGGGGCTGTCTGGGGGGTCCTGGGGGGTTCTCTTGGGCCAGTACTGGGGCGGTCCCAATTGGATCGTGTTGGAGGCCATCTTGTGGCAGTTTGGGGCGGTCCGTGGCTTTGTTTGGGGTTATATGGGCCTGTCCGGCCTTCTCTGAAGCATTTGTGGCCCTTCTTGGACCCATCTGGCGCTGAAACCTAGATATTGCGAAAGTGTGTGGGAACCGATCGAATTCTGATCATGTTCGCCTCTCGGCGCCGAGTCATGTTGAGACTTTTGAGGCCATCTTGGCGCCATCTCGGGGCCCATTGGGTCGTCTTCGGGGCCTGCGTGGTAGTTCTGTGGCGCTCCCCGGCGCCCCGTGAGACCATCTTCGAGGCCTCCCGGGTGCTCCTCGGGCTGCCCGGCGTGGTCCCGGAATCCGGGAAGCCCCGAAAGGCGCCAGGGAGGATCCACCGAATGCGGCCAAAGTCCGTTGGAGGGGTAGGGTGGGCTGGGGACGTTTCTTGGTGTCGTACAGCATGGATACATCCACGAAGGATAGAACATATTGGGAATCCTGGGATTTGTGCCTGTTTATTCAATCGCATCGCTCATTCCACCAGCCCGTATTGTGCCAACGCATGCGTTTTTGTTCGGTGACGGCCCCAGCTCCTCTGGGAAGAGTGGCGAGAAGGGCGTTTCTGGCTCAGGCAAAGGAGTTGCTGGCGCCCCACCTTCTGCTGGCGCTCCGAAGCTCACTGCGGACGAGTACCTACAGCTGGCTTCTCTGCACGACAAGATGGGCGACTCTCGGGCAGCAGCTGCGCACCGCACCGCGGCTGCGGCACTGTCGGCGCCCGCCCCAGCATCTGTCTCGGTGCAGGCCCTTCTCAACAAGGCTCACCAGAAGGCTTGAGCCATCGAGAAGAAGTTGGAGAGCGCCGTCAGTAAGTTCGAGATGCTGGAGGCTCAGCTCGCGGCGCAGAGGAACCAAGTTCTGGTCCTGCGCAGCGACCTGGAGCAGGCCGAAGGCGAACACGGTGAGCTCGTTCGGCGCCTACATGACGAGCTGCCGAGCACAGACCCTCCGTCGGACACGGCCTCGGGCACGAAGCTCTGCTTGGAGGATTTGCTGGACGAGAAGCGCTTCTCTCAGATGTTCGACCTTGATGTGGGAGATTGCTTCACGATCACCGACGACGAGCAGCTCTCACCTGATGAGGCCAAGCAGTTGGCAGATCGTGTGGACCTTTTCAAGACTGGCATCACGGACATGGCACGCTCCCTGTTCGCTGAGGCCAAAGCTAAAGTGGATTCGTTGCGTGAGGAACACAAGCAGTTGTCTCAGCGTATTGCCAAGAAGCGTAAGACGGATGGTGGTGCTGTGGTCGACGGAGCTGGAGTTCCAGTTGAACAAGCACCCTTTCCAGCAGGCGCTGGCAAGGATGAGGCTTCAGCGACTGGCACCAACGGTGGAGAACGCCCAGGGGCGGGACCTGCTTCTGCTGGCGCTGCCTCGGAGCAGGCTGCGACGGGCTCGGCTTCTCCTACCACCCCGTCAAGTACCAGGGCGCGTGCTGACAGGATTGCTGGCGCTGCCTCTGCTTGAGCCCCTCCCGGAGCCCGCGAGGCTTGAGTTTTTTCTGAGCCATGGGATCTCGGGCCTCGGACCTGGGGGACCCTGGCCGCTCGGGACGGCCTGGTTGGCCATGGGCTCGGACCACGGTAAACTCCAGGGGGGCATTGTTTCTTCGGTGAATTTTGGGCGCACTGCGGCTCAGGTTGCTCTGTGGTGCAAGCGAGGCCTACCTCTGGTGCTCGCTTCCTCGTCTGTTGACGCGTTCGGCCAGAGGTTGAAATCATTTCAGAAGGTCCCACCGCCAGCCCGATGGCGTGACCTCATGACTCGTGCGGATTCGGCAGTTTTGAAGGCTGCCGACCAACCGTGTTTTTTTTTTTCGCTCGTCCAGTGGATGAGTATCCTGTGCTTTCTCTGGGCAGGGATGTTCCCTGTCGTACCACACTGGTCAGGCTGCCTTTGCTCGAGCCCACTGAGGTTCGTCAAGGAGTGGGCTCTGGCAGCCCAGACCCTGTGTCAGGGAGTCTGGGTCCTTGCAGCCATGATCTTGGGGCTCCTGGGCCGTTGGTGGACCAGGGGGCTCGACGTGGTCTGCAGTCGCCACCTTTTGCTCGAAGCGCTCGGTTTTTGGTCTCAGGACGTGCAAGCACTGGTCTAGATGGCCGGTGCTTCCCCTTTGAAGGAGCTCGGTCTCCCCAGGCGG